TGCTCTTCATTGACCAAGCTTCCACTTGCAGAAGAACAGGGCAATGGGGCAGAAGATTCTGGGGATACCGAGGATGAGCTGAGAAGGTAAGGTGGGGCTGGGGGTGTCGAGCTAGTCCCAGACTTGGGTGGAGGGGGATCTGGTCTGCATGCTCTTCCCCCACGCCCTGTTGTCTCTCCCAGGGTGGCTGAGCAGAGGGAACAGAAGCAGCCCCCTGACCAGGGGGAAAATGGTGAGGACCCATATGCAGGATCCACAGACGAGAACACAGACAACGAGGGTCCCCCAGAGTCTCCTGACCTGCCAGTTCCCGAGCTCCCAGGTAGGAAATCCCTCCCTGCCTCCTCACATGGGATCTGCCTTTCTCAGTTCTCAGCTGTGACTCCCACCACCGAACCCTTGGATTGAGGCTGCTTCCCATGACTTGTGATTTGTCTCCCCACCTCCTTCCCCCATAATCCCTGCCTCTGCTACCTTTTTGTTGTCTTAGGAAGCAGGCACCCTCTTATGACTTCCCTCTCTGTTCCCCTTCCTGACTTCCTGCTGTGACCGCCTCCATCACAGCCCAGGGCTGGGCATGACCCCCTCTGGCTTTCTACTAAAGTGTCAATGGTGCCTCCTTCACCTGCCTCTCGGGTTCAGGTCTGTCAGCATGGGAGGTCACCCAGGCACACAGGTGACATGGGCATGGGTCTCTTGGGGCCTCAGTGGTGATGGCATTGCTATTTGTCCTCCTAACATGAGTGCAGGGGGCATGGGACAGGCAGGGGTGAGAACCTTGGCCAACAGAGAATGGAGGGAGGAGCTAGGCAGCCAGGGTCTGCACAGAGGTGAGGGTCAGGGGCAATTGGAAGAGGCTATTTCTATACGGTTCCCTGTGGGTCTGATGGGCAGGAAAGTACTTTGATCCTCCAAAGCCCCAAAAGTGTCATCTGCAGATTGATGATTTGGAGAACCATGTTAAGATGGAACAAAGAACAGAGGTGTCCTGAAGGTCAGAGCCAGAGAAGGCACTGGCTGGTAGAGGACTGTGACAGCCAGGGTGAGCAAGTGACAGGCTCTAAGGCTGTGAACTGGGCCACATGAGCTAGGTGCCACCAGCCCATCTGTGATGTACCTCATGGAAGAAACACATAGCAGTAATAGTCATTTGTCTCTCACCATGAAAGCAAAGCAAAACAAAACAAAACTCCAGTTCCCAGAAAAGTTCTATGGGCCTGGCTGAGAATCACCGTTTGTGACAAATGTCTCTGCCAGGGCATGAATGAACAGGCCTCCCAGCCACTACACTGGCCTCCTTCGGGTCTTGCCTTCAAGTGCTCTGTGGCTCCTGGCTGGTGCTTTGAAACTCCAGGTGCCTCACACTTGGCACCTCTACCATCTCTCCTGCAGACTTCTTCCAGGGCAAACACTTCTTCTTGTACGGAGAATTCCCTGGGGACGAGCGGCGGAAGCTCAGGCGATATGTCACAGCTTTCAATGGGTCAGTCTCCAGGGGTAGGGGCGAGGGCAGAGAGGGATTATGCTAAGTTGTGGGAAGGAAGGCGATTGGGAAGATGGAGAAGGGGTACAGCCTGCTGGATGGGCACAGGCTCTGCTCGCTCTGCTGGGGCCCCCCTGGATGTATAACTTTCCGTCTCTTCCTCTTCTCTACAATGAGGCCCCCCCTCCTTCCCGCCCACCTTCTGAAAGGATTAGCAGCAGTGGGAGCCCTTGGTATTGTGGCTGTGGCAAGGCTGGCTTGGGGAGAGTGGGGGCCCACAGGGTAGCCTATAGGGAATGGAGGTGAGGAGGAAGGGAAGACAGCCTTGGAGAATGGTTGAGGAGTCGGATGTCAGGAGAAGAGACACTGACTCTCTGCCTCCTGCCAGGGAACTTGAGGACTATATGAGTGACCGGGTCCAGTTTGTGATCACTGCACAAGAGTGGGACCCCAGTTTTGAGGAGGTGAGCTCCAGAGGGGTGGGGAAAGGGACACCCAGCCCGCCCTTGTGTCACCTCCACCATCACCTCACTCACATGTTCCTGTATTCACCCCTCCCCACCTTGCAGGCCCTGATGGACAACCCCTCCTTGGTGTTTGTCCGGCCCCGATGGATCTACAGTTGCAACGAGAAGCAGAAGTTACTTCCCCACCAGCTTTATGGGGTGGTGCCCCAGGCCTAGAGTATGTGCTTGCATGCACTTGCACATGCTTGAGCGCGTGCGCACACACAAGATGAGCTCAATAAAGGTGACCTGGTTTGGAGTAGCTGTCCCTCTTACTCAGAAATCTCCTGAACCTCCTAGAGGGCCCCAGATTGTTGTCATAAGTTTGGTTTTTGCTTCCCTTCTGAGGGTGAGGTGTCTTGGCTGCCTTAAGACCCCTGCCCTGGGGTCCTAGAAAGAATGAGGGGTTCTCTTTCAGGGGTTAGATAGGGAAGGAGCTCTTTGTCACTTCTCCCTGGCAACTTACCCCTGTAGTGGCAGGTGGCCAGGATTTGGGATTCTAACCCATTGAGCCCATTCCTAGGTCTTGTTTGTCCCTTTCTGAGTCCTGGGCTGGAGGCCTAGATGCTCGTGAGGTGTGCTTCCCAGCTCCCCCGGGGCCAGGGATATCTCCCTTTTTTCAGGGCTTTCAGAAGTGGTTGTGGAACTGTCCCCAGCATGGTAGAACAGGGGGAAGGGGCATTTGAGCCCCCTCAAGCCTCCACCACATTTAAGTTGGGAACTGGGCAAGTGTTAGAGAAGTGTACAGAAGGTAGGATGGAGTTCTAGGCAGGGGCTGGGGTATGGGCAAAGGCCTGGCTCCCTGGGGTCAGTTGCTTAAGAGGCTTTAGGGGCAGATCTGTCTGGAAGGATGGACATAGTCTTTGCAGCTTTGCTAACATGGTAGCCTGTGGACCTGGGTAACTATAAATGAACTGCAGTGAAATGAAGGGGAAATTTTACTCTGTCGATGACACTGGCTACCCTGCAGGTGTTCTGTGGCTGCTGTAATAGAGTGCACAGATAGAGAACGTTTGCTTCACTATAGAAGCAAAAGGACAGAGCTGTCCCGAAGGGCTGTGAACACCAGGTTGAGAAGCGTGGACGTTATCCTGGAGCTCGGAAGGTCAGGAAGGGGTTGGAGCAGTCAGACCTCAATAACAAATGACCATAAACTTAGTGTCTTAAGCCCACGGAAACTTACAACTTTCCAGGTCTGGATGTCTCACATCCAAAATGGGTCTACGGGGCTAAAATTCAGGGTGTAGGCAGGGCTGTGTTCCTTTGGAGGCTCTAGGGGAAATCTGCTTTCTTGTCTTTTCCCCTTGTCTTCTGTATTCTTTTTTTTTATATATATATATTTTATTCATTTATTCATGAGAGAGAGAGGGAGAGAGGCAGGGACACAGGCAGACGGAGAAGTAGGCTCTATGCAGGGAGCCGGACATGGGACTCGATCCCGGGTCTCCAGGATTATGCCCTGGGCTGAAGGCAGGCGCCAAACTGCTGAGCCACCCAGGAATCCCCCTGTCTTCTGTATTCTATGAATATACTTCTGTATTCAAAGCCAGCAGTGGCCAGTGGAGTCTTTCTCACACCAAAGCACTCGGACAGACTCTTGTCCTCTCCTTCCACTTGTAAAGATACTTGTGTTTACATTGAGCCCACCTGGATAATCTAGGATAATCTCCCTGTTTTTTTTTTTTTTTTTTTAGTTATTTTTTAAAGATTTTATTTATTCATGAGAATACACAGGAGAGAGAGAGAGAGGCAGAGGCACAAGCAGAGGGACAAGCAGGCTCCATGCAGGGAGCCCAACGTAGGACTCGATCCAGGGTCTCCAGGATCACGCCCTGGACTGAAGGCGGTACTAAACCTCCGAGCCACCTGGGCTGCCCAATCTCCCCGTTTTAAAGTCAGATTAGTAACTTTGATTCCTTTGGCCATAATTCTTTGCCACGTAGCATGTTCACGGGTTCCAGGGATCAGCATGTGGACGTCTTTGGGAGGCCGTTATTCTGCCTGTGGCGCCCACCATCTGTGAGACAGTGTAACTGCAGTGTGGAAAACACACACCCTACTCTCATGAGGCAGACATTCTGCCCAAGGGGGGGAAATCGAGTGTGTCCTGCACCATTGAGCATTGATAAACACGTGAGAGCAGGTAACGCAGGGGCAGTGTTTACAGAGCATGGGACAGGGTGGCATGGTTCAGATGGGGTCAGCAGGGAACGTATCTCAGAGGATTGACTCCTCTGCAAGGACTTGGGAGAAGTAAGGGAGAGTCTGGGGAAGCCATTCCAGGCCAAGAAAAAGCAAGTGCAAAGGCCTTCAGGCAGGAGCTGGCTTGACCCGTACAAGGCACAGCAGGAGGTTGGGTGTCAGAGACTCAGGATCCACCCTGACTCAGCACTGGCCTGAAGTTTGGGTGCAGGCAAATCCCGTCTTTCCTGGCCTATTTCCCTATCTGTACGACGACTGGACCAGATCGACATGTCTCAAAATGCATCGATGGTAGTGTAATTGCTGCGGAGGAAATCTTCTAGGACTGCTCTGTATATAAACCTTGATAGAAGCTGCATTTCCAGGTATGGAGGGACTTCAGTCCTCACTCTCACCCACCCGTTCCCCAAGGCCTTGCCCAGTGGACTGAGTCTAGCTACCAGCTGGTCTAGTGGCCTGCTAATTTGCATTTGCCTGCTCGGTTCCACCTCTGATGCTGGCTACTTCCACAAACCATTTTTCATCCCAACCACACATTACTGATCTCAACTAAAACTCTACCTTCTCAAAAAGTTTTTTTTCTAACCCTCTATATAACGTGTGCCGAGTATATACTCTTATTATAGCTCTTGTGATAGTTGCAACTTGATTTGTTTATGGTCAAATGTACCAGTCTTTTCCCCTATGATGTAGATTTCTTGTGTCTTGAGGATTCTTTCTGTGCCTCTGAGGTTACCAAGGTATTCTCCTTTATTATTTTCATTTATTTTGTTTTTCAAATTTAGATCTTAAATCACCAGAAGCTTATTTTTGTGTGGTAGGAGATCAGGATCTATAGGTTTTCCTATTGCTACTGTAACAGACTATCTCAAGCTTAGTGACCTTAAACAATACAAATTTATTTGCTTATAGTTCTGTGCATCAGTAGTCCAACATCAGTCTCAGTGGGCTAAAATCATGGTGTCTGCAAGGCTGTGTCCCTTCCAGGGGGATCCATTTTCTTACGTATTCCAGTCACTAAAGGCTGCCTGCATCCCTTGAATCATGGCCCTGATCCCTCCAGTGTCTGCTTCCATTGTCACATCTCCTCTGACTCTTCTGCTTCCCTGTCTCCAATATGAGAACCCTTGTGATTATATCGGCCCCCTGGGATAATCAGGATAATCTTCCAGCTCAAGATAAGATCAAGAATCTGCAAAGTCCCTTCTGCCATGTGTAAACTAACATACTCCATCTCTGGGGATTAGGACTTGGACCTCTTTGTGGGGGAGGGACCATTATTCTGCCTCCAAAGGGCCCCACTTAATGTTTTTTCCAGATCTCTCAGCTCATTCACAGATGAGCCTGTCCTTTCCCCATTGCCCTACAGCAGAGATTTGCAAACTACTTGCCATAGGCAGAATCAAGATCACCTGCCATTTTTGTCATTTTACTGGACCAGAGCCGTACTCATTCATTTATGTATCATAATGTGTGTGGCTGCTTTTGTACTCCAGGGGCTGAGTTGGGTAGTTGTGGCAGACACTATGGCCTACAAAACCTAAATATGTATATACTATCAGGACCTTTCCAGAAAAAGTGTGCCAACCCCTGATCTCATCAGGACCTCCTGTCGGGACCTCCTGTAAGCACAGGTCTGTTTCTGAGCTCTTTTTCTCTTCCACTTGCCTGTTTCCAAGCCAACACCACAGATGTAATTACTATGACTTTGACATAATTCTTGGTACCTGGGGGTAGGGGTGGAGGGCAAGGCTCCCTCTTCTACTTTGTTCTTCAAGATGGACTTGGCTTCTTTACATTTTTTCTTTCTGCCACTACTTGATTAGCACCCACTTCCCTCGCTGGACCAGGCCTGTTTTGTTCGCTGTGTGCCTACCACCGAGGGCAGGGCCCAGCACACTGTAAGTGCTTAACACACATCTGAAGAATAAAGAGCAGTCCAGTGTTAGTTCAGGGGAAACCGGCCAGAGATGATGCTTGTGCCCTTACAACGGCCTTCTAGCATTCCCATGTTATAGATAAGGCATCTGAGTCCAGAGAAGTGACAAAACTTGTCCAGGGTCCCCCCCGCTCATAAGTAGTGGGTCAGGGCCAGCTCCAAAGCATGAGCTTTAAAAAAAATGTTTATGCTATTGGCAGTATGTGGGGCACCTGGGTGGCTCAGTCAGGTGTCTGCCTTCAGCTGAGATCATGATCCCAGGATCCTGGGATCGAGTCCCACATCGGGCTCCCTGCTCACTGGGGAGCCTGCTTCTCCCCCTTTCTCTATGTATTCACTCTCTCAAAATCTTTTTAAAAAACACAAAAATATTGGCAGTATGCCCTTTGTTCTTTTATCATTCAGTATATTTAGGGAAACATTCCACATCTGTACAAATAGAGCTTTTTTTCCCCCTATAGCAGTATAGTCCATTCTGTGGCTATGTTATAATTCATTAGCTGATCCCCTATTGACGGTCACTTGGGTCGTTTCTCAGCATCCTTATGCCTTTCTCAGTGCTTGAGTTTATCTATAGGATAAGTTATTAGGTGTGGAATAGTTGAAACAAGGATGTGAGCATTTTAAATTTTTTATGGACAAATGGCCAAAATGGAGGCACCAATTTAGCTTACAATAAGGAGAGACCCTGTTTCCCCACATTCCTCAGCAACCAACGATACTAGCAGACTTTTGACTCTTGCCTTATAAGTAGGAGGGGAAAAATAAGTTTGCTTTCAAGTCGTGGCTCAAAGCCCATGGTTTGAGCCCCAACGCTCTCTATAGGTGACACCTTACCCTCCCTTTCAAACAGGTGAGCAGAGTTCCTCAGCCTTGTAAGTTGGAGCCCAGTGTAGATAGAGCCAGTCTCCCTGCCAGCTATCTGGAAGAGGCAAGTCCATACAGCCAGCTTAAAAATGCCACCTTTTTTTATTGACCCAAGCTGGCAGCAGAGGGGGCCGTGAGCCAAGGGGAGGACTCACTCTCGCTCCCCCTGGCTTTCAGCCTGGTGGTGGCTGCGCTGGTGAAGGAGCAGGAGTCGTCTTTGGCCAAAGGCCTGGTCGCAGCTGGAGCAGCGATGCCGGGCTGTGGCCTGGCTGCCTGGTGCCGTCGGGGGATCATGACAGAGGCGGTGGGCGGCCAGTTTGGAGGGGAACGAAAAAGCCTTGGGGCAATGAGGGCAAGGATAGGGGCGGGCTTCGGTGGCATGGTGCGTGTGGCGGTGGGCTGCAAGCTTGGAGGGGTAGCAGAAAGATTTGGGGCAGTCGGGGCATGGGTAGGGGCGGGCAGGTGCGTGGGTCCAGAGGTGGGCTGCCAGCTTGGAGCGGTGGCCAAAGGCCTTTGGGCAGTGTGGGCAGGGGTGTGGGCGGGCACCACTGTGCGTGAGGCGGTGGGCTGCCAGCTTGGAGGGGTAGGAGAAGGCCTTGGGGCAGTCGGGGCACGGGTGGGGGCGGGCGCCGCCATGGGCCAGCCGGTGCGTGGCCAGCTTGGACGGGTACGAGAAGGCCTTGTCACAGTCGGGGCAGCGGTGTGGGCGCTGGGGCGGGGGCCGCCGTCGGGGTCGGGAAGGCGCCGCCGCGGTCGTGGCAGGCCCCGGAACCGACTGGCTGGGCTTCTGCGGCGAGCCCTGGAGCGGAGCTACAAGACAGGAGGGCTGGTGGACTCCAGGCATCAGCCAACACCCTGAATCTAGGCCAGGCTTCCCTTCCTCCCTCCACCCCAAACTCCTCGGGGACTGGATCTGGACACCTCAAGGGTCATGGGATTCCTCAAATGACAGGTCTCTATTCCCCATCTTCTGCCATGCATCATCCTAAAGGGTTCCAAAGGGTTACCTGGCTGGAATCCCAAAGCTATTATGGTGTCCATTTCTAGTATATTCCCAAGTGACCACTCTGAAATTCTGCATATCAAACGCCCTGACCCTTAAAATCACTGAAGTTCCCCAAAGCCAATAGTAGGATTCCCTATGTGTTGGTGGAGTATCCCTGAAATTGCCTCAAAATGTGATTTCTTTAGCCTCATTTCCTGTAGAATGCCCCCCCTACCCACAGGCGGGACCGCTCTCACCTCCTCCCTTGGTTACTGGTTCCTTGCCAGTGGGACTAGGATCGGTGTCCCCAGCCGCGGACTCTGCATCTCGTTCCAGCATCTTGCTTGCTGGCCCAGGAACCCAGAGGGAGGTGGGCGATGCCGGTGAGTACAAGGCTGATGGGGATAGGGCTGTAGGGCCGAAAATCGGGCCAGTTGGGGAGCAAGGTCTTTTTTAAGTCTGGAAGCCAAAGGCGAAGGGCGGAGCCTAAGAGCACAACGGGCGGGGTTTATGCAAACCTGACCCTACGCGCCTTAGACGCGGGGTGGGCGCCCTCGAGCGGAATGGGCGGGGCCTCTACCACTTCAACTCTGGGGCCGCCTGAGCCCCGAGCTCGCGTGGCCTCTCCCTGGAGTGGGCGGGACCTCCCCCACCGGACCCTCCCAGCCGCGGAAGGGAAGACGGGCAAGGGCGGGGCTATACAAACAGGACTCAAAGCGACTCCGACCCAGGGGAGGGGCCTTCGAGCGGAGTGGGTGGGAATTTGCAACTCAGTCCCAGGGGAGGAGCCTGAGCTCAGTGGGCGGGACTTCACCTCCGAGAGGTAGCTTTACCCGAGTCTTGGTTTAGTCTCAGTCCATTGACGCCGCGTGAAGTGCTTCCTTCCTGTTGCTAAATTTCATCCCCAGCGTGAAGGGTAGAGGGAAGACCTAAAGGGAGATGCAGAAAGAACGTGGCGTGTCTTGCGATCCAGAGAACCCCCTAATGGATTTCTCCCTCGGGGTCCCAAGCGTCCGGGCCTCAATGCACGCCTCCGAATCATGGCATTCGGGTACCAATGCACCCTAGCAAGGCTCAGGCACCAATGCAACCCCTCCGGAACCTATGCATCAGGACGCCAATCGATTCTTTTCCGGGAGATCCTGGCGTCCAGCCCCCCCAATCCACTTCCCGAAGACCCGAGGCGACGAGGCCTCGGACCCGTGCCCGCCTCACCTGCGGAAGGCCCCTCCCCGGGGGCGGGGCTCCGGGCCCCTCCCGCAGCGGCCGCTGCAGCTGCTGCTGCGCTGCCCTCCGACGCCGCAAAGCTGCACCGCCCGGCGCGTGCCCAGCGACGGGAGGGGAGGGAGCGCGCGCGAGCCGCTCGGCCAAGCCTCATTTCCAGCCCCTCCTCCCACGCGGGAGTCGGCGGGGGCGTCAGCGCGCTTGCGCAGTCGCGGCCAGCAGAGGCTGCTGCGGGGGGAAAGGATGGAGGAGGGGGTGGGTGCGCCAGGCAGGCGAGTTGGTGAGCAAGCGCGGAGCTACCAGAAGGGCCGTTGGAAAGTACACTGCGGCTGGCGGGGCCTACGGTGGCTGACTGGAGTCAAGCACGTACAGGACCTAACTCGGGGAAACTTGGAGATCAGGAGACAGCGCCCAGCATGCGCACCGTCCTTTTCTGTGCCCCTTCTCCCTTTCGAGAATTCCTTTGGCAGCTTGAGTTCCCTCTCCGGAGCGAGTTTCAAGAGGCTGCTGCCCGCCTCACCCCTCAGAGCGTTTGCAGAGAAGTCAGGCCAGGTCTTGGGGAGAAGGCGGGCGGAACGCCAGGCTGAGAGCGAGCTGACGCCCAATAAAAAACATGTTATTTGCATAGCGCCCCGGCACCCTTCGCCATTGGCTGATTCGAGAATCCTAGTCCCTCCCACCCCGATGCTTCGGCTCCGGGGTGGAGAGGGCAGGGTGGCGGCGGTTCCCGAAGCCTGCCTGCTGGGGTTCCTGGGAGGGCCGGAGCTCCTGGTACCTGGTCCAGGGTGGCACGCTTGGCACCCTGCCCCGGGGCTGTGACGGGTACTCTTCCGCCCAGCACGGGAGTGCCCGTGAAGTGCCCATAAAAATGCCCTGCATGGGTGGGTCTTCAGTCTGATAACCCACAAAGTCTGGCGAGTCCTGGGAGCCTTGGGAGTTAGATGGTGGGGTTATGGGAGCTCTGGAGCCAGATTGCCTGGTTGGCTGGCTCGGCCACTTTCTAGCTGTGTAATCTTGGTCAAGTCCCTTCACCTTCCTGGGTTGTTCGGATAAAATTCAATAATCTAAAGTTTAGAACAATGCCTACAGTGGTCAGTACAGATTCCCAATATTCTTGTTTTTATTGCATTTAACTAGGCCATAATGGGATCAAGGTTGTCCCAGAACAGCAAGTGCAGAGAGAGCTTAAGGTGGGAAGGAGCTTGCTGTGTGCAGGGGTTCTTTCCTACCTCGATCCTCCAAACTAACCTTCCTTCCAGTGCTGCTACATCCCATGGTCCATCCTACTACTTCAGGGATTTCCCTCTGTCTCCCCAAGGCCATTCCTCCATCAAATTGCTTGTCTGACTCCCCTGTGTGATCTCGTTTCAAATAGTACCACTGCAGAAGGCCTCCTTGATTCACCCTGGCGCATGGAGCCCCATTCCCTCCATTCCTCCGTTGTCACATCTCCCTTGTATGCAAGTAACACTGTGTACCTATCTTCTACAATGTACTCTATGTTAAGGTGAACAGCCTATGTTGTATATCACTCTGTCCAGAACACAGCTTAGCACATGGCAGATGTCCAATAACTGTATCAAATACATGCTGGAAAGATTCAACAGCCAGAAGCTCTCTGTGATGGGAAGATAGAATGATATAGAACTTGAGGCCAATGAGTTAGAGGCCTAGCTGAGTGGAAAACCAGGGGAGGGTTTTGAATAGGGGAAGTGACTTGGTGCCTGGGTGACTCAGTGGGTTAAGCATCTGCTTTCAGCTCAGGTCATGATCCCAGGGTCCTGGGATTGAGCCCCATATTGGACTCCCTGCTCAGTGGGGCTTCTGCTTTTACCTCTCCCTCTGCCACTCCCCCGGCTTGTGTTCTCTCTGTCAAGTAAATTAAAAATAAAATAAATATGGGCAGTGATGAACTAATATAGGTTTTTTTTTAAGATTTTCTTTATTACTTCATGAGAGACATACAGAGAAAGAGGGAGAGACATAGGCAGAGGAAGGAGAAGCAGGCTCCATGCAGGGATCCTGATGTGGGACTTGATCCTGGAACTCCGGGATCATGCCCTGAGCCAAAGGCAGAGGCTCAACCACTGAGCCACCAGGCGTCCCTAGTTTAGGTGTTTATATACTTTTTAAAAAAGATTTTATTGGGATCCCTGGGTGGCACAGCGGTTTAGCGCCTGCCTTTGGCCCAGGGCGCGATCCTGGAGACCCGGGATCAAATCCCACGTCAGGCTCCCGGTGCATAGAGCCTGCTTCTCCCTCTGCCTATGTCTCTGCCTCTCTCTCTCTCTCTCTCTCTCTGACTATCATAAATAAAAAAAAGAGATTTTATTTATTTATTCATGAGAGACACACAGAGAGAGGCAGGGACATAGAGGGAGAAGCAGACTCCCTGTGGGGGGCTTGATGCAGGACTCAATCCCAGGACCCCAGGATCATGACCTGAGCCAAAGGCAGATGCTTAACCACTGAGCCAACAGGTGCCCCTCATATACCTAAAAATAATTTTTTTTAAGTTTTGGAAAATTTCAAACATAGCCAAAAGAAGAGGAAGGGAAAGAGCATAATCAACCCCCACAAGCCCATCACCGAGGTTCATCATGACCAATCTTGTTCCACCATCCCCTTGCCCCTTAAGGCCCTTGAAGCAAATCCCACACATTTCATCCAGAAACACTTAGTCTGTGTCTCTAAAAACTAAGGACTCTTTTTTTTTGTCTTGTAAACACAACCAAAACATCATCACCAAACTTTCAAACTTTATAGAGTCGTTTCTTCACGTTATTACATTTCTCTCATGATCCCACATATATCGTTTTCCCTTTCCAGGACAATGTTTTCTTTCAAACATACAAGTTAGAGGAAACAGAATTGTTCTCCGCATGAATAAAACAAGTGGCACCAGCATTAACAATTTTCTTTTTCTTTTCTTTTTTTAAATTTATTTATGATAGTCACACAGAATGAGAGAGAGAGGCAGAGACATAGGCAGAGGGAGAAGCAGGCTCCATGCACCGGAAGCCTGACGTGGGATTCGACCCCGGGTCTCCAGGATCGTGCCCTGGGCCAAAGACAGGCGCTAAACCGCTGCGCCACCCAGGGATCCGCATTAACAATTTTCTACTCATGGTCGATGTTTCATTTCTTCCACCCATGCCTCCCGGGTGATTTCAAAGCTATGTGCCAGACATCATATCCCATAAGTATCTTGTTATTACACTCAGTATGTCTGCATCATGATCTAAAGGAGAGCCACACGCTGTGTTTATTTTCTGTGATTCTTCAGTCTCTGTCATTGACATTTTAAAAGGCTCACTCTGGTTGCTGCATAAAATAGATCTTAGGGAGGCAGGATAGAAGCCAGAAGCCCAGTGAAATAGACGGCTGGTATATATTAATTACCGTATTAATTACCAGCACTTATTTAGCACTTTTTATATACCTGAAACTGGCTTAAGGGCTTTGTAGACATTCTTTCATTTCATCCTGATAGCAACTTTTTAAGAGGAGGCACTACCCTTATCCCCACTGTACAGAAGAGGAAAATGAGGCATAAGGCGGAAGGTCACTTATTCAAGATCACGCAGCTTGGAGGTAGCAGGATCAGGGTTTGAACTCCTGCAGCCATGCAATTTACATTCATGCTTTGCTGCCCCTTGACTGGGGCTGAGAGCCTGATGGTGGAGAAGTGCCCTGATTGGAGGGGTTCACTTAAACAGGGCCTAGTGATGAAGTGAGAGGAGGAAGGAGTCGAGGCTGGTGAGGACACCAGCTCCTGTGGAGAGCTTGCTCTGCACCATGTGCTCTCTCAGACTCTTTACGTGTCTGAACTTATTAGATCTTCACAATGAGGGAGGAGCTATTTTCAACTTCATCTTACAGAGAAGTAAGCTAAAGCCCAGAAGAGGGTAAGTTTTGAGCCCAAGAGCTGGGAATGGTGCTGCTCAGGTTTCTACCTCTTAGGACATCTCACAGCTGACCCAGAAGGTGTGCCTGCTTTCAAGGGACTGGTAAACTGTCTAGCAGGTCTAGCAGTCCTGCCAAAACAAGAAGAATGGGCCTCAGGGGTGAGGAGGTCTCGTTTGGGGGACCTTCACAATAAAGAATGCATGAAGATCCCTGTTTTCCTGTTTCCTCTTCCCCTGAGCTCCTGGCAATCCTTGAACCTCTCTTTATTTCAGCCCCAGTGTCTGCACTATTCTCCTCAACGAACCAGACAGGACTCAGCTCTGGGTCCCCAGCCTCGCCCAGCTTGGCCTGGGCACACAGGAGCCCTCACGTGAGGAATAAATGAGCAAAATTTTCTCCTCGACTTTGAATTTCCTTTCTGCCTATTTCTCTCTTATCTGAGAGATTCTCTTCCTCTTTCTGCTCATTTCTCCTGGCTCTAATGTCCCACCATCTCTTCCCACCTTTCCTACTTGTCTAGGATTTCCAAGTGTATCTTTCTGACCATATTTCTTTGATGGACAGCCCATTTCAACTCTTTATCTCTCTGTGAATCTCTGAAAGTCTTTCCAGGTGTCTCTTCTTGTATTTCGGGGTCCAATTCTCTCTCAAGGCTCTGAGCACCTCCCTTGTCTCTGAGTGCCTTTCTGGGTCTCTCTCCTGATAAAAACCACTAGGAATACACTAGAAGGCCGGCTATCGGTGCATTGGAGGCTCTTGCTGGGTTTTCATTTTTCTCCCTGTCTGTGCTTCTGCCAGCGTCTCTCCGTGGCCTTCTGAGCCTTGTGAGTGTCTCCCTGTTCGCCGGTTCCCGGGTCGCGCAGTCGTCTGGGTCTCTGTGTTCTCTCCGCAAGATCGCCTGGAGCCCCCAGCGCGCGCGGCCCCTTTAAGGCTGGCCCCGCCCCGCCCCGCCAGCAGCCCCGCCCCCGCCCCGCCCGGGTCAGCCCGGGGGCACCCGGCTTCGGGAGGCGCTCGGAACTCCGCTCAGTCCCCACCCGGCCGCGGGCGCGATGGCGGGGGCTACTCTGAGGGTCGCCGGGCGGCAGCTCAGCCAGCGCAGCGGCTCCGGAGTCCCCATCCTCCTACGGCAGGTGCGCGGAGCCTGCGCCCGCCGCGGGACTGCTGGGCGCCGGGCGTCGGGCAGCGACTGGGGCGGGACTCCCGGGTCCTTGAAAGGGGAGAGATCTGGGATCCCCTGGGCCTGGGGCAGGACTTCCCCTTACGGAAGAGGTTGCTGGAGCTCCTGATTTGGGTGGGGGGGTATGTGAAAGTTGGGACTGTTTCAGAGGGAGTAAGGTGCAGGGGCCGCAGACTCTGACACAGGTGGGGCAAGAAGGGGCTGGGTTTTCTGCTTCTGGATCTTAGGA